CGGGATTCTGTTGTAACAGTTCCGGAGTAGGGGTAGAGGAAGCTTAGTCGACTTCTATCTCTACTCCTGACTCGTCGCGACTCCCGACTCCGAAACGCTTGACTCATGTCAACTCACCGTCCTGTGACCTCATCAACAACCTCATGCATGCGTAGCCGCTGTAAATTAGTGCAAAGCATTGCAAAAATAGCCTTCCTCAATTGCATTGCTGTATATCCCCTCGATTTTGTTTGTACCGAGAAGTGGCCGGTTATGGGCTCCCTGTTCTCCATGTGGCGTGCAGAGACCGTGGGACGGTATCCCGAGCGACCGGTCAACATGACGTGTACCGGCGAAGGGCTCAGCGCGGTGGCACACTCCGATGAGAATCCTGGAGTGAGAGGTTAACGGCAGGTAAGCAGGCGCACACCATCTACACACCTTCGTTTCCGAGCTCATGAAATTGATATAGACCCCTTCCATCAATGAATTTAACATGAAAGATGGTGATCACTTCACATTCCTTTTAACTCATCCTTTATGATTTTGAATGCAATGAAACTACGATCTTTGCCAGCCACAGTCCATAACGTTACAAAGGATACTGAAGAGACAACTGAAGTCTGCATTCGGACCAGTGTTCGCCATATGGGCCGGGCCAGTCCAATGGGCGATGGGCTGGGCTGGCCTACGGGCCGGGCTGGGCTGGGCTGGGTCCTCAAATATGAAGGATCGATGGGCTGTGAATGGGCTGGGCCAAGCACTGTAAAGTGGAGTCAGGGGTTCGCGACTGAGACAAAATCCATAACTTCATAGCGTATTACTGTGCAAGACTCAAAAACGAGTCAATAAAGTACGCAAGTAATGTGCATTGTGCACGCCGCTCGCAAAAGATTGTTAGTCTTTGCTCCCTTTGGATACCTGTATGGTGTCAATAATTTTTAATCCATTCATTTTTTGTTTGGCTGGGCTATGACGCTTTTACCATGAATGGGCTCGGCCTGGGCCGGGCTGTGGACCCATGGGCCTGGGCTGGGCTGGACTGGGCTTTTGCGGCCCGTGGCCAACACTGATTCGGACGGGAGGTTTCCTCATTAACCGGCGTTGCTTATATAAATTGATTTTTTTATTAGTTATCAGTCATGCAGCATAATCAACATCAATCAACGTGATCAATGTTGTCAACATAATCAGAGCAGTGCACTGAGCAGCTTACATTTTACCATCACCGATTGCGGCGTGAATAAACACGCATAATGCGCAAAATATAATTCAGCAAAATAAATATGCCAGTGTGACATCTGCTGTCGTTAAGGTAAGAAGGGACAAGCCGATTTTTATTGACATTACTTCATGATTGAACAATAAAAAGGCAACTATCGCTTTGGCATTTTCATTGTCTGAATATTTACAATAGACATGTCTTGGTGAACTGTTGTAGCTACACAAGAGTGAATAGCATGCCTACCTTTACTAAAAGTAAGCGCCGCAACGGTACCTACTTATCTGGTTGGCTGGGTACTGTGCAGTGCCGGCTGTTCTGCCATTCCAGGGGTTCTGGCATCTCACGTGTGGGCGATGCCGCTACCGTGTCGGCTGCTGCTTCTGCTCTGCGGCTGTCTGTGCCAGTCTCCAGCCGCCGCCAGACGGTTCGAGCTGCTCACCGACCAGGCCATCATCAACGGCTCTATGATGACGGTGGCGCCGCCGGTGACGGTGACGCAGTGCGCCGCGCTGTGCAGCAGGCTCTCCGGCTGCGGCGGCTTTAACCGCAGCCCGACCGCCGGCTGCGTGACGCTGCTCCGCGACAGCCTGCGCTTCTCGTACCGGCGCGAGGAGCCGGGCACCGTGTCCGGCACGGTGCCGGCCTTCTCGTGCCACCAGCGGCTGCTGCTGAATCGCGAGGCACCCAGCGGAGTGCAGCGGCCGTTCGGCTGGCCGGTGCCCGTCTACTGCGACCAGGAGCTGGACGGCGGCGGCTGGACGCTGCTGGTGACCGCCGCCACCGCCGGCTGGACAGACGTCCAGGTGATGGTCCGCAACGAGGAACAGCCCAGCCTCAGCGCTGACTACTCGGCGCTGCGGCGCGCCAACCGCCTGCTGAACCACGCCCGAGGCGGCGACATCTTCTACAGGTCAGTGCTCAGTGGGTGACTTTAGTACAGGTCAGCGCTTATTAGTGAGTTTCAGTACAGTTTAGTGCTCAGTTTCCGTGAAAACAATTTAACCCGAAGCCGGCGAGTAAACCGGTGCTTTGCTTGTACCCCTATCCGCAACCATTTTTACCACCCTCCCAGAGTAATGTTATGTAAGATCCCATTGCAGAATTAGTCGTGCCCGCTCTCAGCGGACATACCAGCGAACATGTCCGCTGAGAGCGGTTGCGATAATACCCTGCAATGGAACCTAACTACCCCTGAGACGTCGTTAACAATGGTTGCGGCTAGGGGTACAACGTGAGACGCCGATTTACTCGCCGGCATCGGGTTAAATTGTTTTCACTACAAATACCGGGATTTTGACGGTTCACCCTTCTTACTACACATGCGATTTCTTTCACTTGTATACCTTCTCTCTCTCTCTCTCTCTCTCTCTCTCTCTCTCTCTCTCTCTCTCTCTCTCTCTCTCTCTCTCTCTCTCTCTCTCTCTCTCTCTCTCTCTCTCTCTCTCCCTCCCTTTCTTCATCTCCCCTCTCCCTTCCTTCTCTCTTTCTCTCTCTCGTGTATTTTTGCACTAATTGTTATGATTAATTTGCACCATTGTGTGTCTGAGCAGACTGGAGGCGCAGGCTCAGACAGGCAGACGGCAGTGGGGTGGCATCTTCACCACACCGCAGCTCGAGTCCCTCATACTGCAAGGAAGTGGTCCCGGATGGAGTCTGGTCGAACAATTCGGAACATGGAATTTTAACGACCGTTCGATTGGCAACGAGGTTGCGTATATCGATCAGGAGTCCTCATTGAGCGGGATGCTCCTGAGAACCTCGAATCGTGACGAGTTCGGCACCATCGTTTCCGCTGTCGGCGCTCCACACGAAGGTCAATTCCTGCACAGTCCCTGGATCGAAGGAGAAATGCCCGACTCCGGTACTGTTCTCTACTGGGTCCGCGAAAACTAGTCGCCCTGGCTGGTAAACTGGCCACTGGCTCAGTGACTGGTTAAATAGCCGCTTTACTAGACGCGTATGCAGCTGAGGCTTCGTTGACGGTCGGAAGGCGCATTTTACCCGTGGGCCGTGGCATTTAAGCACTCAGCTCAGCGTGCATGCAAGGACCATTTAGATGGTCCTGTGACTCTCAGCTAACACCAACGTTCCAGTTACAGTTTTCCGAAGTTAAGCCGCACTGGTACAGTGAACCGTTTTTGTAAACTTAGTACAGTTTGATCTGTTGCCTGCGAGCATCGACGAATTGTTTTGTTTTTCGAATCGATGAATCGCCGGACCGCTTGTGCATGACCCGTAGCAATGAAGCTTGGTATCACCGTCTGAACATAACTGTATAGGCCATTATTTACTCAGCATCTACATGCCGTCATTATGTTCACTCAAAAACGCTGTGCATGCTATGTGGTGTTAAAATACTGAACTTTTGCTCAAACTAATTGGTGTGGAACACGTGACTATTGGTTATAAAGTAAAAAGTTAAGTTGGGAACTTTACTTTTGACGCACAATATACCGCACATAACTCGTTATTGGGGGTGATTTGTGACTCGCTTGTGAGTGTGGATCCCAACGTGGAATGGCATATTCTGAGCTTGTTTATCATCGCTCGTCTCAGCAACGTCGGTAACGGGGTAGAAGGAAGGTTATAGAACTGGTAGAAGGTTCTGATCGGGTGATCAAAGTCAAGGGTGCTGTCGATACAAAATACTGGATTTCAGACATTAAAGTTGAGTTTAACCCTCGCCGGACCTATTGGTTTTCTACATACGCGCCGGCCGAGGGGGGGGGGCGGGTACGACCCCCCCCTCGCCGTTTCGCCCCTGGTGGAGCTAGCGCGTCGCGGAAAAAAACGAGCGTGTGCGCCGTTACGAGACGCAGAGATTGGTACCCGATTTTAAGGTCCTAGGTCAACCGGTGACCTCTGAGGTCAGGTCAAGTGCCCCAAGGTACGGTTCAGTTTTTGGTGAATAACTTCGCAAAAAACGGCCGCAGAGCGCCGATTTTGGCAGCATCGTGTTCGTCTCGCTCAGGCGCGTCGAATGATATACTTTTTGTCCGGGTCAGGTCAACTTGGGGTGTTGACCTCAGGACAAGGTCAGGTCAGCACCCCCAGGTCACGAAGTTGGTCGAAAGAGGTCATGTCGCATATCATTCGATTCGGCAGGTCTTCCTGAGTCCATTGGTGGCTTTCCCGACTCGCTAGCTCAATTTGATCAAGAGTTATTGACGAAAAACTAATATGACCTTGATGACGTCATAAATGACGTCACGCAAGGTCAACATTGCAAAAGTGACGCATCTAACCTTGCAAGGAGTGCATAAAATCACGATTCTGTGTGCTTGAGATAGTTGGAGATCGTTCCCGGCGCCAGAATAGCAGTTTTCATTTTTCCCCATTGACTTATAATGGTGAGGTCACGAAAATGACCTGACCTCATATGACCTTTAGGAAAAATCCGAGATATACAAGTTGTGAGACTCATAATGGATACTAGATCCTGCAAGTTTCATTTCCCTGTGACATCTCCTCTGGCAGTGAGGGCGTTGCGAAGTTGCGACATCTGAAGACCGTGCAGAGGTTCACTTATGACGTCATAGGTTAGTGACCTGACCTGACCCAAAAATGCGGTTGGTGTCAAAAGATGCGGCTTGGATCAAAGGTCAGGTATGCCAAGTTTCAGCTCTCTATCTCCAGCGTGTTCGGAGCTATCGCGAAAAAACCCTATGGGGGGGCGGCACCCGCCCCCCCCCCCCCTCGGCCGGCGAGGGTTAAACTATGCCTTTTCAACGGAAGAGAGCAGCCGCCGCCAACTGACGTTGCAGGCTCGTGGTGCAGGGCTGCAGTGGCTGATAGTGGTATCAGGGCAGGGGCGCCGGGGGTGCTGCGGCCGTCCCCGCTGCGTTCTCGAGTGCCCTATCAGTTGACTCAGTCGGCATTGGTTGCGCCGCGAGTGTCACCGCGGCGAACGCGGCGTGACGGCGACTGTCTGACCGCTGAGAGAAATACTGGGAAGGAGGTGAGTCCACTCACAGATTGGATAGGTGTGTGAGTGTGTGTGCGTCTGTATGTGTGTCTGTGTCTGTGTGTTTGTCGGTCTGGTCTCCCTGTTCGTCTGTCTGTCCGCGGTCGGTCTCTGTCTGAGTTTGTGTAGGTATGAACCTTTCCTCTCCCCTGTTTCTGTCTTTGAATTAAATTCTGTGTTACCTCATTGGACCCATGCAATGGCTGCACTTGCGCCCGTGTCTGAGTGCGTTTGCCGTTTGCGTTTGTGTCGTGTCTGTATGCGTTTGTGTTTGGTGGAGACAGACGTTGCGAGCATTGTCACGGATAAAAAAGTTAAAGCCGTTTGATTGTCATCTGTGCAGCGAGAGAAGAGCAAAGTGAGCTGCACATACATATGACAAACTCACACATGGATGCTGGGATTACAGATGCGTGTAATAATGCCAAAAGCTGATCAACGACCGTTCCAGCTGTGCGGAGCCGCTCGCTGTCCAAGAGTCACTCGCCGGCCGCCATAGACTCCGCCTGGAGTTGCTCGCTGTCCGAAATTACTCGCCGGCCGCCCCAGACCCCGTCCTGAGTTACTCGCCGGCCGCCACAGGTTCCGTCCGGAACCCTCGCTGGTCGTCACAGTCCCCCGGTCGGAGTTACTCGCCGGCCGCCACAGCACTCCGCCCGCCACCATGGTCGACCACTATGCCGTCCTGGAGGTCTCCAAAACGGCCACCACCGAAGAAATCAGGAGCTCGTAAGTCCGATGACCGATGTCGTTAGGTAATTTATAATGGGGAATGTGGGATGGACACGCCGAATTTCGATTTTTATTGCACGCTCAAAGCCCACGAACGCTCAGAGTGTTTGGACGAATGCGAACACTATATTCTAAAATATTATTGAGAACTTCATGCATGTTACCTGTTATTACTTGTTATTACCTGTTATTACCTGATTCATTACTTTCATGCGACATTAGCCATTTTCACGACGGCCGTCTGGTACACATTTGGTGCACATCTGGTGCAGATCTGGTCAAATTAGGTTCAGTGTGTCTCTGAGTAGCTATCAGCTAGTTTTTCACTAATTGCTTATATGCCTGCTTTGCCGTATTATCAGAGAGTATCATCGATTAAAACACTAAAATAAATTCATAAAATAACGATATTTGCTGTAATAGAGATTAGGTGCAGATCGGGTCAAATTAGTGCACTTGCCGGATAGCCCGTCGTGAAAACGGCTTTTATGTATAGCCAGAATGCATGGTGTAATTTTTGTAGGTAACAAGAAGAAAAAAAACGCGGGTACGTGTTCTTATTTCTCTATCAGTAACACAGATTTTGCAAATTATCTAAAACCGTTTGTAGCATGTCTTGTTGAACATATTTTTTCACATATGCTGTATGAGCTCCGCCGTCAAGCTTCGTTTGTACCCGAAGGTCACGTAAATTGACCTGACTGCAAAAAACAGATGACCGACGGTGACGTGACTTGTGATTTAACCTGTAAATCTGTAAATTTCTTTGATGATTCCTGAGCTTTCGAACGATGTTTGCCTATTGTTGTTATGGTTCAGGAACACGGCTGAATGGGAGTGGTCCCGAGATGTAATAGCACGTTCTGCCCACACTACTCTTTCTGAATGGGTCGCAACAGCGCGGCTAAAACATGGGATCTTAAAGTTTTTCTTTCAAATTTTATCTTATTCAGCACTCATGACCCAACGCCTGTGGCGCCCGTGGAATAGCCCTTCGTGACATTTTTGAACATTCATGTTTATAACACGCCACTTTAAGACTATTATTGCCATAAGCCGCTTATTATTGCAACTTTTACCGGGAAAAGTCCTGAATTCATCATTCCCCCGATTAGCAAGGCACGCTACAAAACAATTACATAAAACAAATGGGTTTCTTGACGAGGCATTCTGCAGTCAAGTATATACAAACACTTAATAATACAGTATGGCTGACGTCGTCGCGGAGTGCCACCGGGCACGAGCTTTTCGAACACGGGAGCTGAGACTCGACCTACCCTTGCGAGCTACCGACCGTGCTGTTTTCGACAGGTTCCGCCGCCTGGCCAGGAAATGGCACCCGGACAGGAACCCCAACAACCGGGAGGAGGCGTCCAAAAAGTTTCGCCAGCTCTCCGAGTCTTACGAAGTTCTCTCCAAAGGTCAGTGTCTGCGCAGAGTGATGGCGTTTCCTCCATGATCTGACACAAGCACAGTCGTAGACTCGAGAAAATGAATGACCTCTCGCACTCGTTGGATGACGAGCTCGATGCCCTGGCTTTCAGTAATTTATGGATTCATCAATATACAGAAACAAGCAGGGGCGGATCCAGAAAATCTCCAAGGGAGGGGCCATTAGAAACCAGGAGGCCCCCCATAATCCCACCTGTTGGAGGCCCCATCTTCCCACTTGTTGGGCCCCCCCAAAAAAACTGCGTCTATTGAGCTTATCTAGCTTTTCAGGCAACATCTCAACATCTGTGCAGGCTTGGAGGCCCTCTGTGCAGGTTAGGAGGCCCTGTAAAAGTGGTCATCTCTGTGAGTATAAGAGACCTCCAAGTTATGAAAAGCTTTACCAATCTTCTAACAAAGAAGTCTTCTCAGCTAGTCTTCTAAGAAATAACTAAGTGGGTAGGTTAAAAAAAAAACTCATCGGATTTCGGCCACTTTATTTTCAGGAGGCCCCCTTTTCAGCTTTTTAACTTTTTATTGTATTTTTGAAAAAAATCGGCCAAGGGGGGGGGGCCATGGCCCCCATGGCCCCCCCTTGTATCCGCGCCTGGAAACAAGTTTGATGTTTGTGATCCGAAACATTTAGCAACACTTCTTGCATTGTAACGCTGCACGATGTTTTCACTGGAATTCGAACACTGAGACGCTGCACGATGTTTTTACTGGAATTCGAACACTGAGACGCTGCACGATGTTTTCACTGAGATACCAAACAAAATTCGAAACAAGTCATATTAGCTGTTTTCACGACGGGCCATCCGACGAATGCACCTAATTTGACCAAATCTGCACCTTATCTCTTTTACAGCAAATATCTTCATTTTATGAATTCATTTCAGTGTCTTAACCCGGCAGTTGCTGGGGTATTTCGCCACCCACCGTTTGCTGGGGGGGGGGGGCGTTAAACGCCCCCAGCCGATAATTCGAGAACCAATAGGCGCAGCGAAACGCACGAGGCGGCACACGAAAAAACGCGACGAGACGCTTCAGATGAGTACCTTAAAGTTGAATTTTGAGGTCACAGATCGGGTCAAGGTCAGGTCAAACACCTGAAATCGGGCTTTCAGTAGCATGGACTTTCAGGACTTCGCAATGGGCGCCTCTCGTCATAAACTCTGTCAAAACGGTGCACAATCCATCATATAAGGCATACAAGAGTGTCAGCTCCATGTAGGGGTCAGTCAAGCATAGGTCAGGGTCAAGGTCAGGTCAACCGGGTAGGCACATATCCCCGAAAATCAAAACTGATATTCGCAGCCTGTGACACATGTTTTATAGGTAATTTGGGGCGTAGAACACGATGGTGACATTCATTTTATCATATGTGTACGTGTTTCGCTCAACAAGTTCAATTTAAGAAATGCATGTATCATGGTCGTGATTGTGAAGTAGTCACGAGAAATTGCCAAGATTCAGTTCACCATTATGGAAAATTCGGAACGATAATCAATAATCGAAGATAGCCATTTGATTGATCATGGTATTGGCAGTCTAATGGCGTTTACGGCATGTCTGTATGTGTATTCGGTGATTTTATATGATTTTTTGAACATTTGGTCGAAAAGTCAGAAATCATGACGTCACTAAAATCTCGATATCTCAAAAAAAATTCGACCGATTTTTTTGAAACTTGGTCACAATAAACTTCAATCAATTCCCTACAGGTACCCGAAATTTGGCGCGCCTGCGGCGCGCCGTTTTAATGCTATGGCCCGGCGAAAAAGTGGGGGCGTTTAACGCCCCCCCCCCCAGCAACTCGCGGGTTAATCAATGACAATCTCTGATAATATGACAAAGGAGGCATATCAGTTGGGGGAGGTTTGGTCAATGGTTGTCATTTTTAGCACATGCCATTTTTGGCAACCATGTGCTAAAAATGACAACGCTATCAGCTATTTTTAGCAACGATGAAGCCGATTTCACTCCTCAGCGAGGAAATCACGATTTTGGAAATACAAGCACTGATTTTGGAAAAGAAGTGCTGCCACCTGGTGCAAGAAGAAGAAACCAGCTTTAATATGGCCGTTGTTTGTATGGTAGTCCAACGTTGAAGTATACCCTTTTTTGTGGCACGAAGTTGGAACTTTAAATTGAAGCATCCGAAAATGATCGATATTGATCGAAATCATGATGTTGATGAAAAAAATAATATGTTAAGTTGAGAGAGGAGGCCATTTTATCCAGATGCGGTGGTTTACTTCTTGAAATTATTTTTGCTTACGACGACTGCCATGTAATGAGGGATAATTAGCAGCCGTCATTAGCAAAAATAATTTCAAGAAGTAAACTACTGCATCTGGATAAAATGGCCTCCTCTCTCAACTTAAAATATTATTTTTTTCATCAACATCATGTTTTCGATCAATATCGATCATTTTCGGATGCTTCAATTTTAAGTTCCAACTTCAGGCCACAAAACAAACTACCATACAAATAACAGGCATATTAAAGCTGGATTCTTCGTCTTGCACCAGGTGGCAGCACTTCTTTTCCAAAATCAGTGTTTATCTTTCCAAAATCTTCATTTCCTCGCTGAGGAGTGAAATCGGCCTCATCGTTGTCAAAAATAGCAGAATCGTTGTCATTTTTAGCACGTGTGACAAAAATAGCACGTGCTTAAAATGACAACGATTGACCAAACCTCCCCCGACTGATATAAGCAATTAGTGCAACCCTAGCTGATAGCTTCTAAGAGATACACTGAACCTAATTTGACCAAATCTGCACCTAATCTGCACCAAATGTGCACCAAATGTGTACCAGATGGCCCTTGTGAAAACGGCTATTGTGTATATTTAAGTTCATGAAAAGATGTTTTATTTTGTCACGACCTGTACTGCAGTATTTCTGCAATATCTTCTAAATCCCGAAACGATAAACACAAAACTTTACCTTTGGCTCCATCAATTTGACACCTGGGCCTCGTTTCATAAAACTCTGCCGTAACTTACACTTTTCTGTAATTCACACCCTTTCGAACTACGGAGCGCAAATGAAGCCGTTTCACAAAGCCACAACTGGAATTGTTTACACCTCCGTAACTAAGCACATTTGCGTAGTTGCTGTAATTTATCAAGCGTCCTACAAATTACAATTTCATGTCAACACTTATTTTTTTTTTACGAGAAATTATAGAACAATTAATGTTGAATTTCAATCTTAATTTTTTGTTTTATGAAAAAACAAAATTGATATTGATGACCATCCTTTATTAAATCAATATATTGAAAACAGCAGAAAGCCAGCTAAGCAGAAGTGCCTAACTACGAAAGTGGCGCGGCGCGGCGAATAAACAAAATTCCGATAGTGGCCACAGCCCACAAAAGCGACTGGTACAGAGGATTTGCATTTTTTTCTCGTTAGGGCTGTTCTTTCTTCCTCACCGGGCTCAACATTATAAAATGTATTAAAAATTAGCTTCGAATCTTCACATTAATTCAAATTCACGCAACATTTTTGTGCGTAGTTTACACCACTCATATCAAGAACTTGATAAAATATTTGGCGTTGATTACGTCGTTTTATGAAACCCAAATGGCATCAATTGGTCCGGAATCGAGAATTCGCCGTGAATGAAGCTCCGTAATTTCGATGGCGTGAATTACTCCGGTCTCCGGCTTTATGAAACCGAATTGGCATCAAATACGCCAAATCTGGCATAATTGACGGAACGCCGTAAGTAATTCCTTTTATGAAACGAGGCCCTTGTGTCAAAAAAAAAATCGTAACTGCATAGCATATCATAACTGCCATAGGTTGGCCGGAAACAGCTATCTCGGATTTTCAAGATTGTGAACGCATTGAAAATTATCCATATTAAGACCGAAAAATTATATTTTTGATATTTTTACCCATAAGTGTAAAGTATTTGACTTTTCGAAAAAGGTGCTACATACATTACCGCGGCGGCGCGGCTGATATTATAGTGCCTAAGAGACTTTGGAACCATGGGCGCTTTTCACGCATTTTTTGAAAAGTAATAGGTTTAGAGAAGAACGAATCTTGGATAATTTGATAAAAAAATGTCTCGTTTTTTCGATGATGCATTTAGTTTTGGGACTTGCAGACTTCGTCCTACATCGCTTAAAAATCGCTAATTTACATGGGACTCGAGCGGGGCTTCGAGACTTGACTCCAAATGACGTCACGGGCTGAGATCACAATCAGGCAGAATGGCCGGACGACTTTACCTGGTATATACTTACGGCCTTGAGCAGGCGATAGATAACTAGCCTGTGTTAGTAAGCACCCGCCTTGATCAAAGCGGCTTACCTGCCCTCACTTGGCTGCCCTCAGGCGAGAAGCGTCGAAACTACGATCGTGTCCGAGACCTGACAGGCGGCAGCGGGCTCGCTGAGGGCGTCCGAGTCGTTCTTGGTGACGGTCTTGGGGGAAGTGAGATGCCTGGTAAGCAGTTGCGAAACATTTTACTTTTATAATCACTATTTTGCATATCGCGCTCTTAAAAATATCATTATATGAGACTATAAAGTCATGTTTAAACCCAGGTAGGTATATTAATGATAATAGTTAAGCCGACTGACTCTGGGTGTAAAGAAACTAGTTCAGCTCTGTACTTCGACCTTTATTAACAGGTCTTCAAAGGGGTAATGCGATTCAAAAAGCGGGGGATAACTAGCCTGTGACTAAAATATGACTCCGACCAAAATAGTTTCTTTACACTCAGTCAGTCCGTTAAACTATTTATTATCATTAAAAATATCATGACAATCACAATCCAGGATGCTAATTGTTACGGATTAGTGAGATCAAAATGGTTTTATCACATTATTCTTTTTTAATTCTGCGTAATAATACTGCCTTTAAATACTGTCACTTAGTTATTTGGGGTTAACAGATTGAGAAACTCTGAAGTGAAACAACTGATAACAAATGTTCAGCTCAACACGGGGGTCGATGTGTAACTCGCACTTCCGCCATTGGATAACATACAATTAATTTGAAGAAATACTCGTGCGCAGTGTGTTTGTGCAACCAGGATGTCAAACTCGCTCAGCTTCATAATCCCTGATGTAATTTTGCGCCTCTGCTTACCGACATGAAATCGGATCTCACTTGCGACACGGCACCTGACTGTGGCGCCGACCTTTTGTTGCTTCTCAGGTTTCAGACAGTTCATGCAGGACATGGAAAATGGCACCCTGCCATCACAGCTCCAGCAACTTTTGTCTGGATTGAAAGGGTTGGTCGACGGCCTGGACGTCTCAGAACTAGCCAGGGCGGCGAGCAGAAGCGCCAGAGAGACCAGAGAGACGTCTCCTAAAAAGTCCGACAGCGACAGTGACAGCGACAGTGACAGTGACAGCGACAGTGACATCGAAGACAACGACGCTACCGCCGCCGCCGCGGCTGCCGAAGCGAGGTCCGCCGCGGCCCCCGACACCAAAGCTACTACCACCGCTCCGGACGCCCCAAAAACAGCCACCACCACCACCGCCACTGCCACCGACCCTTCTACAGCTGCTACCACAACCGCCGCCTCAGCTGAATCTTCCAAAGCAACCGTCACAACCACCACGGCTGGCGGTGCAAAAACAACCGTCACAACCACCACTGCTGACGCAACTAAAACTTCCACCACCAAAACTGCCACCACAGCTTCCACCACCGCTGCCGACGCCCCAAAAACAACCGTTACAACCACCACGGCTGATGCAGCCAAAACTTCCACTAGCAGTAGCACCGCCAGCACCACCACCGCCACCACAGGCGACTCGGCCAAAACACCCAACCCAGCCAAAACTTCCAACACAGCCGACGCAGCC